CCCCCCCCCCGCCCACCCACATTACCACAATTCCTTTACCACAGAAATTGTCCCTTTATAATTGGCCCAAGAGATTTGATATGAATAAGATTTATAGCCATAATGGCATCATCTCATAAAAACCATTTGGAATCTGCTGATTTTTGTTTTATGGTTGTTATCACCAGTTCCTGGGAAATTTGATTTAGCTGTTGAAATGTTAATATAGTTACCTCAGAAGACAAGTTATTCTTTAATTGTTTTCTTTGTTGTTCAGCTTGTAGGAACCCCATATTACATGTCTCCAGAGCTCTGCCAAGGAGTAAAATACAATTTCAAGTCGGATATCTGGGCAGTAGGCTGTGTCATTTTTGAATTGCTTACTCTAAAGAGAACGTTTGATGCTACAGTAAGTTGATGTTGTATTATCCCAACATTGTCCCCCACAAGGTACAACTTGCTTAAGACAAGCAACTTCATTTATCCCAAGCTTCTGATTTCTTGAATAGAAATCAACTGTAGGCAAAAATAACCTGTACTTAAGCCCTGGATTAGTAGTATATTATTAAAATGTCATAGGCCATATGCATCTCCAACTTGAATTCCCCACCGAAATGATCATAATCAAGTAGTTTGAGTGCTGTATTTGAGTTTGTTGACTATAATTTTTAAACTGGCTCCAGGGTCAACAGTGTGATGCTATAGTTTGGAAAAGTCATTTTACTTCTTATGCTTCAGCCACATCATCTTTTTAAAAGCTAATGCAAATTATATAATACCCATTGAAGTGTTTTGATCTTTTTTTTATGAAAAATTACACAGACTCATGTTAAAGGTTATTTTTTTATGGACAACAAATCCCTTTAAGTCTTTTTTCTTTTCTTTTTTTTAAGTAAAGTAAAGCTTGGTGTAAAGTAGTGCTTCTCAAACTATAACATGCATACAAAATCACCTGGGCATCTTGTTAAACTACAGATTCTGTTTCAGTAAGTCTTGGGAGTGTGGGTACCAATATTCTACATTTCTAATAAGCTCCCAGGTGATGTTGATGCACTTAGTCCATGAACCACACTTTGAGTAGCTAAAGTGGATTATTAGCATCCAGTCTACCAATGAGGTATGAGAATTTCGGCAAATGTCTTCATCTCTTTGATCCTCTGTTTGATTATCTATGACATGGAAACAGTATATATCCCTCTCACAGAGATTCTGATAATGTATATGAAAAATGGAGGGCCAACCCCATGGTGCACTCGGGAGAGTGCAGCGCTGGGAGCACAGCAACGCTCCCACCGCGGGTTCGGATCCTGTATAGGAATGGCCGGTGCACTCACTGGCTGAGCGCGGTGCGGGGCGATCCCCTTACCTGTCACGAAAAAGACAAAAAAAATAAAATAAAAAAGGAAACGTAAGATAATGCAAATCATTGGCCTTTCTTGAGACCTATTTGTTTTTCTAAATCCTGAAGTTTGTTCTGGTGTATCATCTAATTCTCCTAAGTAATGTAGTGGAAGAAAAATGGCTTTTGAAGTCAGATAGACTTTGGTTGGAGTTATGGTTCCAGTTTTACTCTCTGTGTGGTTTTGAGCAAGTTACTTTATATCTCTGAGCCCCATTTTTCTTGTGTATAAATTGATAATGATAACAACTTCCTTGCATGGAGTTTGTTAAAAAAGAATTTAAAAGATCATGTATGTAATATGCCTGTCTAGTTCATAGTGGTCTCTGAATAAGGTGGTTGTGATGGTATTATTTTAATGTTATTATTATTATTATTATTTTTTATAAAGATGACCGGTAAGGGGATCTTAACCCTTAACTTGGTGTTATCAGCACCACACTTGTCCAAGTGAGCCACTGGCTGGCCCATTAATAATATTATTATTATCTTATTATTATTCACTGCCTTGTCTATTGCAGCAGAGTATTGCCTATACAGCCATTGTTAGGATATATAAATTAGGAGGCAAATTAGTTGGCAAGGAAGGTACTTGAAGCCAAGAAGCATGGCTAGTCTTGCTTTCCTTTTTCTTGGGATTCAGTTTTGAATCAGATTAAATATACTCTGAGCATTATGCTATTGGCCACGCAATCATAGTTTTAATGTCCATGCTGGCCAGTTGGCTTCATTCTGTCTGATGGCAGCAATGTATCTCTAAGCATTTCTTGTTGATGCATACTAACAGTTTTAAAAAGAAGTCAGACCTAATGCAGAACTATTGCCAGTTCTTTAAGTAATGGTCACAGACATCTCAGAGACCTTACTGGGAGATTATAACATCATCTTTACATAACCAGGAACAATGCAGTCATCATTTTCTCATAGAATCCACTCAACCTGTGTGTGAAGATCGTGCAAGGAATCCGAGCCATGGAAGTTGATTCTAGCCAGTACTCTTTGGAATTGATCCAAATGGTACATTCATGCCTTGATCAGGTAGGTGTGAGTTATATATTGATTTCAGTTTTGTGTTTCCCCTCTGGCCTCAGTGTTTGGGGTATGGCATGGATATAAACCACATAACCACATCCACTTCCCTAGGGTAGGATGTATTTGTGGCTGTACCCAGAATAGGGATTGGCAGTTTATGATAGTTATGTGCTTTGGTGAACAAATTCTTACTTTATTCTGCTTTGTAACTATTAATTTTTGAAATGATTTTTCCATCTAAATTGTGCTCAATTATTCATGACCCAGATTAATTTCTACAGATTGTTTTTATAAAACTGTAGTCAAAGATAATTTAGAGTTCCTAATGTTTAGAATTTATGCTTAAAATATCTCACAGTTCCCTCACTTTGTAGTTGTAGTATTATTCAAAGTATAATCCATGAACCACTGACATCAGAATCATGAGGGAGTGAGAGAGTTTTATAAGAAAAAAAGATTCCTGGGCCCCAGGAATATGTAATATGCCTGTCTAGTTCATAGTGGTCTCTCACTAAGGTGGTGGTGATGGTATTATTTTAATATTACCAACTGGATAAGAATCTCTATGGATAAAACTCAGAAATCTTTATTTGTAGCAAGCACCCCAGGTGATTCTTCTGTGTGCTATATATATTGAGGTTTGAGAGCCACTGCCCTTACTGAACAAGTGAGGAAGGTACATTGCAAACATCCTTGTTCATGTACAAATGTTGATGATAATGAGATGATAAGCATGAAACATGGAATGTGACATAAGAAATTATGATTTTTTGAAACAAAAGATAATATACAATGGTCTTTGACTAACTAACCTACAGCCTTTTAAGATGAAGTAAAATGCCTCCATAGATCCCATATTGCCCATTCCCTTTCAGTGAAAACTTATTGTTTTTACTTTGTAGGATCCTGAGCAGAGACCCACTGCAGATGAACTTCTGGATCGCCCCCTTCTCAGGAAACGCAGGAGGTAAAGTACAAAGAAGGCACTTTGCTGTCTTGCCAGAAATGGTTGACAGAGGCCTGATCAGAATACCACAAGAAAGGATGATGTTTCCTGGCTTGGCCACTGTAGTGCTATTTTCTACTGACATCTCTGCTTTCATTGCTTGAGGGTAGCTCCTGACTTTTACCTCCTTAGCCTGTGCTATTTTGTTCTAAATTTGTACTGATAAGACTCAAGAGCCCACCACTCCCCCCACCTGTGGGTTTTTTAATCTAAAGTTGAGGCATTAGTGTATAGTAATTAAGGGAGAAGGGGCTCTGGACTCAGACATCCCTCAGTTTACATCTGAGTTCTGTAATTATCTTTGTCAAGTTATTTAACATCTCTATTTCTTAGTTTTCTCTTCTATAAGGTAAGGATTAAAGAAGGTAATACATATAAAGTACTCAGTCGGGGCCTGGCATAAAGTACTTGACAATTGTTGTATAGTAGTGTGAATTTAGACCTGGGCCTTTGTTTTTTAGTGCATTTGTTAAGATGGTAGGTTGGAGTTGGAGGAATCCTCTTCAGATACCTTTTGCCTATTTCTTGAGGTCGACCTTTATTGACTCCTGACAGGTTATTTCCTGTTCATTGTGTGTCAGAGGTCTCTAGAGGTAGGAAAGATGTCCTTTATCCCTCACTTCCTGTAGGAGGCTTCAAACATTAACTTAAAGGAAGTAGTGTTCTCTTTTTTGTTTCTAAATATATATTATTATTATTATTATTATTATTATTATTATTATTATATTTTTACATTCTAAGATGTTGTGGGGCAGTTGGGAGGGAGGGGGAGAGGGGGAAAGGTGAGGGGAATAGGATGGGAGGGGCATGGTCAAGGCCAGTGACACCCCCCTCATTACAGCAGGGTTGCTCAGAGGGCTTTTGATGGTGGCTCAGTCATAGCTGGTCTGGATGCAGATATCACAGGGGGCATGGCTGAGGCCCTCAGCCCCCTACCACCCTAGCTTGGGAGCCAGGGGTGCTTCTGGCAGCAGCCTGGTGGTCGTCACTGGGCTGGATGCAGATGTCAGGGGAATGTGGCTGAGGACCTCAGCACCCACCTCCCTACCCTGGCTCAGGAGCCCAGAGTGCTTCCAGCAGTGGTTCAGTTGTCATTGCTGGGCTGGATGTGGATGTCGGTGGGAGTGAGAGGGCATGGCTGAGGGCCTTGGTGTCCCTCCCCCACCGCCCCAGCTTGGGAGCCCAGGGCACTTCTGGTGGCCATCACTGGACTGGATGCAGACATAGACAGAGGGGTCATGGCTGAGGCCCTCAGCCGTCCCCCAACCGTGGCTTGAGAGCCTGGGGGCCTTCTGATACTTCTAAGTTTTATAGGTGTTCTTTGGTAGTATTAGACCTTTACTGGTTAATATTAGAACTTAGTCTCTGATCTGTGGGTTTTTTGTCTTTTCTTTCAGTTCTGCGTTGGATTAATTACTATTCCCACCACTTAAATTCTGCCCTAGAACTAATTGGTTGTCCTTTGCTTACTTCTAAAATGAGGGAACTTCCTGTGGGGACCAGCACTTGAGCCTTGTGGTTGAGCTAAATTGTTGCTGATTCTTTGGGGAAGGCTTATTATGCAGCTCGGGTTTTAATTGTTGACCTTATAAGCACTTCTGGGTGTTGTGAAGTCCAGTACACCTGGGTTATTTGGAAACTCCGGTCTGGGCCTGAGTCTTTTCAGCAAACTGTACCCCTGCAGTCCTGTATTCCTGACGAGTCTCCACTAAGTGGGCCTGTGCTGATTGGAGAGCAGATCAGCTGTCCATGCTGTGTCCCAGTGTTCCCCTCATTGGCCCATCTCCCCGACTCCCCACACTCCAAACACTTCCCATGGGGTAAGCCATGCACTGGTCCCTTGCGATGACTCACTGGCCTCTGAGTGGCTCATTTTTTCAGTTGTCTGTGGCCCCTTGCTCATATGTGGGTCCACAGGAACCCTGTTAGTGGTCTCGCTGGCCTGGGGGCCACCAAGGCCCTCTTCTCCCCAGCATCCTCTAAGCAACTCATATGAAGGACACGGCAGCAGCTTTTGCCAGCTCTTGCTGTGTGCTCACCAGGGCCAGCCTTGAAGTGTCTGGGGCTTGAAATGGTCAGAGTGGTCCTTTCTTTCTCTCATCATGGGCTCATCATGGGCTCTCCTGCCTTCTTTTTTTTTTTTGTCTTTTGTTTTTTGTCTTTTTTCGTGTCCGGCAATGGACCGCAACCCTCAGTGTCACGCCCGTACCGGACTGGGACCGGCAACGGGATCGCAACCCTCGTTGCTGCGCCCGCCCCTCGCTCAGCCAGTGAGCGGGAACCGGTCTGTATGTGGGATCCGAACCCTCGGCGGGAGCGCCGCCACACTCCCAAGCGGCGCACTGTAGCAGTGTGCCACTGGGCCGGCCCTCTCCTGCCTTCTTGAATTCCATAGGTCTCTCCTCCTCTTCCCCTGAGCCCCAGCTTGACATTCATTGCTTTTTAATAGTTGTAAATTGGTTGATCGTGGGAGAGTCGTGCTGAGTACCATCTATTCTGCCATCTTGATCTGCTTATCCAAGGAAGTGGTATTCTTTATCTTTCTTAAATTTTCTAGTCTGTATTTCATCCTATTATACTATTTTTGCCTTACTACCCTTTTTCCTCCCCTACCAGTTCTTTGTTTTTATATCCTCCAAATATTCAAACATTTACTATACTCTTTTTTGAGTCTTTTCTCTAGATACATTTAGTCCATACCTAATTCCGTAATCTTTGCTGTTTGGTCAGTATCTTTATTCTGTTGTTTCATTCAATTCATCTTTTCTGGTTCTTCTCCGGTGTTTTGGTGCCTAGAATTATTTGTAATACTCCAGATACAGTACCACAACCTTCCATTTATGTTCTGTGCATATTTAGGCACAGAACATATTTGGGTGATTTTAAGCATATTTAAAATTTTTATCTGGTTTATTTCCCAACAATATAATCATTTTTAATCACTTAATGAAATATTCTGATTGATAATTTTTAATTGAAATTTTTACTGAGATAGTTGTAGATTTACATGCAATACTTTGAACTTTGTACTTTGATGAAAAAACGTAAAAGTTTCTGAGACAGAGAAAATAGCATAAGCAAAAGCACAGGCATAGGAAGTTGTGGAAAATACAGAGTACTATTTGGCTAGATTAGTGGTTCTAGACCTGAGGCTTTCAGTGAAAAATCTCAGAAGCTTTAAACAAATACCGATGCCTGAGCACTACCCTAGTAGTTTGGCTATAGTTGATTTAGGGCAAAATGACAATCCTGGGCTAGAACAAGGGGTATATGTAAAGGGAAGGAAGGCCGAAAAGATAGGGAATCGTGAATGCCAGCCAAGGAATTTGTGCTTTATTCAAGAGATAGTACAGAAGTATTGGACATTTGTGAGAGGGCAGTTCATGTGATGAGGGCACTCTACCTAAGGAAGAGTTAACTTAGCAATACAGGTACTAGTGTCAGGGTTAAATTAGTATAGTGAAGTGGATCAGGACTGTAGTAGTGAGACTGATTAGGAGGTGCTACCACTATACAGTTGGGAAGTAAAGCTGTGCAGAACTAAGGTGGTGAGACTAGAAAGGAAGAGGTGAGTATAAAATGTACTGTATAGGTAGAATCTGTAGAACTTGAACACTGACGAAAAGAAGAGCGATGAGTCAGAGGTGATTGAGGTTTTAAGCTCAGTTGATTGGCAAAATGGGGGAGGGTTATTGCCAGTCACAGAAAGAAGGGAGTCAGAAAGAAAAGCTGGTTTGAGAGAAAGATAATTAGCTGAGATTTGGAGATGTTGAGTTTGGGGAGTCAGTGGGCAGCCTAGATAGAGATGTCCATCAGGTACTTAAACATGTGTATTAGATGTCTACGAGGCTCTCTGTTCTAGCCTGGACCATTTATCAGAGACAGAAAGCAAATGGCCCCAAACTGCCCTCCCTCTTGAATTTAATGAATTGTCTAATGCCAGGCCTATATAATGGTTTGAGTTATACTGAGATAGGATACATGTGGTTTATAAGAGAATTAAATCTGTGAAATGTAGTAAAGTGACTCCATTGAAATATAGGAACCTATTATTTTTGCACATGTATCTTTTCTTTTCTTTTGGTAGAGAGATGGAAGAAAAAGTCACTCTGCTTAATGCACCTACAAAGAGACCAAGGTAATGCTCAAGAGACTCTTGCAAATTAATATATCCTAAATTACCACCAAGTTAATTTTGGGGGTTTGTTTTTGTTTTTGTTTTTGAAGTCTATGCATTATTTGAACCCAGTAGCCTTTGGCATCCTTTCAGAAGCCAACATCAGCTTAAATGTCAGAGTCATTTCTGAGAAGAAGAAAGCTAGAATTTCACCCTCATGCTAAAGTGGCCATCATTACCATGATGAATGTTGAAAAGTGTAGGTGTTATGGATCAGGCTGAAATCTGATCTGGCTAAGCTGTGATGAAGCCCTGAGGCAGGAATTGCAAAGCTATGCTATGATAGAGGATTGAAATAAGTTGTCAAGAAAGAACATACTTTCTCATACCATAACTGGCAGTTTTTTTCAGGGATCAGACTGGAAGCGTTTTTCTTTGATATTGTTTTTATGTTAAATGTGCCTTTGTTCTGGGGGTTGCTGGTAGGTCAAGTACTGTGAATGAAGCACCCATTGCTGTGGTAACATCACGAACCAGTGAAGTCTATGTATGGGGTGGTGGAAAATCCACCCCCCAGAAACTGGATGTCATCAAGAGTGGCTGCAGCGCCCGGCAGGTTTGCGCAGGAAATACTCACTTTGCTGTGGTCACAGTGGAGAAGGAACTGTACACCTGGGTGGTAAGTGAACAGTGCTATAAGCCTAATTGATTGCTGGGCCAAGGATGTCTATGCATTTAGTTAGTTGAACATGTGCTGCAGAGTGGCAGATTGGATGATGGAATGTAAGCTCTTATAAGAGCAAGGATTCTGTCTCTTTAATTCACTGATGTATCCTCACTGCCTGGTATATTTTAGATCACCTATAAATGTTTTTTGAATGACTTAATGAGAGAGGGAGAGAAAATTAAAAGAGCTCTAGGTTTGGACTCAGGAAACTAGGCTTTTCCATTTATGGCTAGATGATTTCAGACAAGTCACTTAATTACTCTTTTTCTATTACCATGAAGTTCAGAGGAACTAGTATCTGTGAAATAGCTGTGTAAACAAATGAAGCACTATACCATGTCAGGAAACCTCCGAGACCTCCACCAGTGATTGAAGATGGCTAGGTATATCTTGTGTAGAATTGCCCTTTGTTGCCCTCTGGATTCCTCCCTGTCTCTCACCTTAACAGATTGTGTTTGCTGTCTATTTCCTTAGCTCCCACTCTCTCCTCATTCATCCATAATGCAACTCCATCCCTGCCACTCAATTGAAACTGCTCTAGACAAAATGACCTATAAATTATTTGCTAAAATAAAACACATACATTTTAGTCCTTACCTGTGTGATCTCATTTGACATAGCTGACCACTCCCTCCTTGAAGCTTTGTCTTCACCTGGCTTCCATGATAGCATGTTCTTTTGGCTTTCCTCCTATCTCTTTGGCTGTCCTTTCTCAGGCTCATCTCAGGCTGCTTTTCCTTTTTCCAACCTTGTCTTAGGCCCTTGGTTCCTCTCCCCACGGGAGCTTATTTTTACCAGTGGTTTCAGGTACTGTCTTCATGAGGACAGGGACTGTATTTGTCTTATTCACTGCTTTATCCCCACTGTGTGAGAGGATAACACTCCATGATTGATTGATTGAAAGAAAGAACAAATGATTTAGCTTTTGTTATAGAGTGCTGATTTGCTGTTATTTCCTATCTCTTAAAAAACGAGCTGCTGGTGGTCAATCAGAAGTGGAGTGAAATTTGTGCCTTAAAAAACATTTATATAAGGACTTGCAGTTGAGTCATTGAATGGAAAAAATTACTTACCTCTATAAAACTGATGAAAGGTCACTGAGGACTATTCTCATTGTTGTATAGTAGCCTCTTTATATAGCCAGATTCTCTATAACTGCTCCATGCTTCAGGGAAACTGTGACCAAAATTTATAAAACTTATAGTACAGACTTCCAAGAGGCTATACTCCTGTAGAAAGCAATCAAATTGGACTCTGTAAAGAATTTTTTACCATCACCCATTAGTTAAATACATAGTTAACCTTAGACTTGAAAGACAAAGACAGAAATGGGAATTTTCTTTTTTTAAGGCCTGATGGTTATCAAACTGGATACTATTTTTTTTTTTTTGAGACCGGCCACACCACGCTCAGCCAGTGAGTGCACCAGCCATCCCTATATAGGATCTGAACCCGCGCTGCACTCTCCCGAGTGCGCCACGGGCTCGGCCCAAACTGGATACTTTTTAAATCATCTTTACCTGTTGGTAGGGGTTTTATACTACCTACCATTAAAAAGTTTAATCCCATTACCCATTTTTTTCCAATTTCTAAATTTCCAGCTATTTTTTTCCTACTGTTTTTCTTCTTAAGAAGTTACATTGAAGATAGCTTTTGGCATGGAAAGTTAAAACTTCACAAGCCTTCTTTATTTCACAGAATATGCAAGGGGGTACTAAACTCCATGGCCAGCTTGGCCATGGAGACAAAGCCTCCTATCGACAGCCAAAGCATGTGGAAAAGCTGCAAGGCAAAGCTATCCGTCAGGTGTCATGTGGTGATGATTTCACTGTCTGTGTGACAGGTAAGCCATCAGCAGAAAGCATTTAAGTGCATTTAATGTGGGGCATTGTGCTTGGCGCTGTGCAGTTTTAGTTGGGATTTTTACAACAAAAGACAGTATTCAAAGAACCAAAGACCTTGAGCAAATATACTCATTAATAACAACATTCCCAATTTGCTATAGTGTTAGGGGGTCTTGAGCACGAAGGCAGGTGGACAATAGAAAAGAGGTGGGGTCAGGAGGAATATGTTGCATTTTGAGGAGAAAATAATCTCACCACTTCATCAGGCTATGGATAACGCAAAATCAGGATCAAGTGTTAAATTTAATTTTAGTCTTTGATTATTTACCTTGTGATTCTTTGGTACATCACTTTTTATCTGTAAAATAGAGAGGGCCCTCATAACATGATAATACTACCACTTTTTTAACTGTCTATTATACTAATAGAAGTACACATCACCCCATAAATACAGACAACTCTAGATTTGCACAGACCTTCAGATTTCTCTGATGTAGTGATCTCTTGTGAGATCAGTGGCTGGAGTGTTTCTCATTCCAGCCCTGCCCAGCTTTCTGATTGGACAAAATAAGTCAGTCCTTTGATAAGTTCTGTTTTCCTTCCTTTTGCAGATGAAGGTCAGCTCTATGCCTTTGGATCAGATTATTACGGCTGTATGGGAGTGGATAAGGTTGCTGGCCCTGAAGTGCTAGAACCCATGCAGCTGAACTTTTTCCTCAGCAGTCCAGTAGAGCAGGTTTCCTGTGGAGATAATCATGTGGTGGTTCTGACACGAAACAAGGAAGTCTATTCTTGGGGCTGTGGTGAATATGGTACGTGTAGCCTTGTCTCTGTCCAGTTCTTCCCAAGTGCACAACCTGACTTCAGGCTTGTATGCATCTAAACATATCATGCAGCCTCTATTTGAGAAGTGTTAATTCAGTAAAAGAGAATCTTATAGAACATCTTCATCAGGAAGGATGCCCTCATTATAATGATTTTCTTTTTTATGTATGTTTCAGGACGACTGGGTTTAGATTCAGAAGAGGATTATTATACACCACAAAAGGTAAAGTCAGAAACATCTTCCTAAAGCCTAAGTCACAAAGACTCCCATCCTTTTCTCCTGCCTCTTCAAGGTGTTTATTTCTGAAATATTTCCTATCTGGGAGACTGTCAATCTAGGATTCCTAATTTAGCACTACATGGTCTTGTCAACTAACTTGTCATCTAACTAAGTCTTAAAAAGTTGAGAAAGTGGATTGTATTAGTCTGTTTTTGTTGCTTATAACAAAATATCTGAGACTGGGTGATTTACAAAGAGAAATGAAATTTATTGTTTACAGTTTCTGAGGCTGGGAAGTCCAAAGTCCATCTGGTGGTGGCAACAGTGAACCAGAGGTCTCACATTGCAAGATAAAATATATCTAATTACTCTCGGCACTGCTGGAGTTGGCACTGGGAGAGGCTCACAGAAGCTGAAACCAGCTGAGGGGAAAACACAGTCACCTCTCTCTCATACCCACCCTGGGGCACAGGCTTAGCCACTGGAAGTTTGGCTATAATTGACTATACCATTTTGTTATTTGTTTGTTTTGTTTTGGTGGCTGGCCACTTCAGGGATCAAGCCCTGGACCATGATGTTATCAACACCATGCTGATAACCAACTGAGCTAATCGGCCAGTTCTTGACTATACCATTTACTGTTACCAGTTTTTATTTACATTTTTAAAATTACATGTTTGTGAGGACCATCCTCAAAGAATTCACAGCTGTTCCTCTTCTGAAAAGGCTATAGTGGAAACTGTGAGGCTTAAGGTTTCAAGTTTCACACACATCCATTGTGGCCCCATCTGTCACCCGACCATTCTCCAGGTCTAATTAGCTGTAGAAGGACGTGAGCATTTGAAAGTCCTAGTTGCTACCTTAGTACTCTGTCACCTCTCTTATAAAATGACCAGATTAGACTGCTACTGGACTACTGAGTTTCTTCTGTAACTGTCAGGAGCCTTCCATCTCAGAGGACAAAATTGACAGTAGATTGATGCGTCTCCTTTCCTAACGTTCTCTGAGAAGTCTCCCTAAGTAGGACCTATTGCTAAAACAAACTGACAGAGGCTGTCTCTTTAGTCCACTTGGAACTGCTCCCTTTTCCTTTATATTATAAAACTTGAGCTCCTTGTTGAAAATAGTAGCCTCTAAGCTCCTGGGCAAATCTGAAGAGAATAGAGCAACCCATACTTCCCTGTGTCATTCTGTTAAATGTAGCCTGTCACTTTGGAGAAAATTTGAGGGTTTTTTTCCTAATACGAGTTATGTATTTGGGATTTTATTTTCTGATTCATTTTTTTCTTGCAGGTGGATGTTCCCAAGGCCTTGATTATTGTGGCAGTTCAGTGTGGCTGTGATGGGACATTTCTGCTGACCCAGTCAGGCAAAGTGCTGGCCTGTGGACTCAACGAGTTCAACAAACTGGGTCTGAATCAGTGCATGTCTGGAATCATCAACCATGAAGTGAGTGCCCCCTTTGGTGTGCTAAACACAGTGTCAGAACTTTTCTAAGTTGAAATTTCTTTGGGATGCTATTATTGGTTAGTGACCAAAGAATTTGTCTTAAGAATAAAGGGATGATCTCACAGACACTGATCAGGAAAAGAAGCCAGTCACGAAAGAGTACATGCTATATGATTCCAATTATGTGAAGATCAAGAATAGGCAAAATTAACTTATGATGGCATAAGTCAAAATAGTGGTTACCCCTGGGAGGAGGGGCATGGGTATTAACAAGAGGTGGGAGGGATTCTAGGGTGATGGGAATGGTGTATACCTTGATCTGGGTGGTTGTTTTACAAATATATGTATCAAGCTATGTAATATTTTGCATTATGTTAGTTATGCCACAATAAATAAATTGATTACAAAGAATAAAATGATGGAATTCAGGTTCTACCTTATCATTGAAATAGGAACAAGAAAATTAACATTATGAAAAGAAACATATTTCCAAGCATCACCGCCCTGGAAAGTATTTTAGATTTATTGCTCCCTATTTACTGATCCAGTAGAGGCTTATTAAATACAATTACCATTCTTCCCCTTTAAGGCTATCATGAAATTCACCACTGAGAGCAAGTCTCAGTTTCTTCTTTGTGTTAGTATAATGAGTTTTTGTTATTTTCTAAAGAATCACGTTAAGAGATAGAAGTTTCCTGACTCAAAGGAAAAGGTAAGAGTTAATTTTAAAGCAATCTCTGAAGTAGTGATTCTCAGTTAGGAGAGTACGAATTCAGGGCAAGGCTGGAGAGAGTGTCTTTGTAGTTTAAAAACGCATATTCAGAATTACCATTGTTTGATTTGTGTTTTGTTATAACATTGGCTTTGTTGGAAATTTTAAACTTACATGAGACGGTATTATTCATACTAATTCAAAGGTAACATGAGTTTTAACAAGTTCAGAAACACTACACTATAGATGAAATTAGGTCACAGTAAACTGATTGCTTTATGGACTGGATAGAGTCCTCAGGATTTCAACTCTTTGCCCTGCCCTTGCTAGATATGCAGAATGTATAACCAAGACAAATGTCAATGATTCTATCCTTATATAGATACCTCGTGGGATGGAGAGTTCATGTTTCACATACCCTAATTCAGGATCTAAAACTTTTGTTGTCAGAAAGTCCTGCCTCATATACTAAATTCTCTGATTGCATATTGAGCTTATTTCTTCTTGTATTCTATTGGAGATGGAAAGCTACCTGGCACCCTCTTCTGAGTAACAAGATTTGCTTGAAAGGCCTTCTGGTCACCATGACCGTTTTCCATTCTCAGCCTGATTATCCCTCCATTTTTTAGCTCATTAGTCTTTGCTTTGTGTTTTACCTTGTTTCAGGCATACCATGAAGTTCCCTACACAACCTCCTTTACTTTGGCCAAACAGTTGTCCTTTTATAAGATCCGTACTATTGCCCCAGGCAAGACTCACACAGCTGCCATAGATGGTGAGTTGATTTACAGCTGTTTCACGTGCCGTAGTAATGCAGCCTCTGTTATTCTACCAAATATTAGTTTTTCTTAACAACATACATCCTTCTCATTTCCCCCTAGCATCCAGTATTATCTCATTAAGAAATTAGGCATTCAAGTACACATTTTTGTTAATAATCATTATAATGCATGATAAATACATCCCTTAATTAGAATGTGACACTTATAATATCAGACATCTATTGTCTCTAATTAGCACCTTCTTCAAGTATTATAAGTTAGGTAGTACCTGTTTTACACATTAAAAATTCAATATTGAAGATAAAATAACAATATTGAGTCAGTTACTGGATCTAATTGGTCATAGTCCCTAGATACCTTAGCTAGCATAGGTCCAGGATTATGTGGCTAGCTTTATATTTGTATATTCTCACAACCAGAAGCTAGTCCATGGAACTCTGCATTGACTTTGTCTTCCTTCTGTTGCATGACCTGTTTGTGCCTGTTTATCTATTTTTGCTTCTCAGAACGAGGCCGACTGCTGACCTTTGGCTGCAACAAGTGTGGGCAGCTGGGCGTTGGGAATTATAAGAAGCGTTTGGGAATCAACCTGTTGGGGGGACCCCTAGGTGGGAAGCAAGTGATCAGGGTCTCCTGTGGTGATGAGTTTACCATTGCTGCCACTGATGGTGAGTATGTACATATAATTTCAAGCTTGTTGGACAAATGGCTATGTTTTAATTCTTGGTTGGGAAAGAGGTGGACTGGTTATTTGTATAGCTGAATTATGCATTTACTTTTTATTTGTATTAAATTTGTGGCCAGTTATGCATATTGAGCTTCATTAATTTTTTATGTGTCCAACATAGTGATTTTTTTCTTAAAAAGGTCAGATTTCTTGATAATGACTAGTTAATATTCCAATTACCTCTTTTTTAAATTTCAACTTTTTTGGTAAAGTGTTTCAAGAATTATTAAGTACCTCTATATTATCTTGCCCAGCACCTTCTTGGTTTCAGTAATCGTTACTGGGTGACTAGGAAGAACAGCAGCATCATTTAAGCTTGCTCCTTGGCTGGGGTCAGCTGCAGTGCAGTGATGTCCTTAGGGACTGCTAAGGCTTGAAGGGCTATTTTCCTCTATGCTGTGGCTCTCAGATTTCTGAGCTGGTCTAATTGATTTTTCTTCTCTCTTTTCTCTTATAGCTCTTTCTTCTCTGTAGTACCTCTTGGCTCCTATAACTGTTTCTCTTCTTTACTGCCACTTTTGCTATCCTTCATTCCTTTCCCTCTTTCTTCTGCTATTTTTTTTTTCTCCTTTTTCTCTTTTCTTCCTGTATTGTCTTCTGAACTTTTTGATTTTGGTAGCCACTTTTTTCTTGTGACTGGGGAGCAATTCTTTACTGCCACTTTTGCTATCCTTCATTCCTTTCCCTCTTTCTTCTGCTATTTTTTTTTCTCCTTTTTCTCTTTTCTTCCTGTATTGTCTTCTGAACTTTTTGATTTTTGTAGCCACTTTTTTCTTGTGACTGGGGAGCAACAGATTGCATTTTATCTTTTACTTTTCAATTTTTTTTTTGTCTTTTTGTCTTTTTCCGTGTCCGGCAATGGATCGCAACCCTCAGTGTTGCCCCCGTACCGGACCGGGGACCGGCAACGGGATCGCAACCCTCGGCGCTGCTCCCGCGCCTCGCTCAGCCAGTGAGCGGGAACCGGTCTGTATGTGGGATCCGAACCCTCGGGCGGGAGCACCGCCGCGCTTCCCAAGCGGCGCACTATCCAGTGCGCCACCGGGCCGGCCCCACTTTTCAATTTTTTTGTTGGTGGTGTTCATGCTCTTAGACATCCTTGTTTTCTTTTGGTCTGTGCCTGTTGTGTACACGAGGGGTCCCAAAGATGGTGTCAATTAAGTGATCCATTACTGAATTAAATGAACCAGCTTTCAGAGCAGCATATTAATGTTCCCAGTTTGTCCCAAAACAAGAGACTTGAAGGAGCAAACTGTATAGGTCAAACTTAGATAAACAGAAATAGTAGCTAGAAGGACAGTCAGGATGTCACTGATAAATGTAGTGCGGCAAGTTCAGTAGCACTTTCAGAGAGGTAGCCTCAGAGAGGTAATGTTTCTTGAATAGATACGTATACTTCATGAGTTAAACCTCAGAGTGAGGAGTTTAGAATTGGATTCAGTGGATGGGCATATTACCCCTTAATAAATGTTACTGTACTCTTCTGAACTGTATTTGGTAGCCTCATTCATGTCTAGGTCCTCTTTGAGGCTCTGGGAGTACAGAAGTGAATCTCAGAAAGCCTTTGTCCTCAAGGAGCTCACAGTCTATCTAGGGTATGGGAGGGGCTAGTACAGGCAAGTCTATCAGGTGCTGTAGTAGCAGCATCCAATTCCTCTGAGTCCTGTGGTGCCCCAGGGCTCGATCCTCTCTTCAAAATGAGGTCACTCCCTTAAATCCCCCCATATACTGACAGCTTTATATCATCACTGCTGACCTTTAGACTCATTTTTTCAACAGCCCCTTGACTTGGATGTCTAAAGATAGGGTGGCTATATAGCCCAGTTATCCTGGGCCAGTCCTGATTCATGCCTGTTGTCCTGGCTTAATCATTAATAGCACCTTTTCATTTTAAAAAAAAATGGCCTGATTTGGATAAGAAGTAATAGGCATCTCAGATAAACTTAGTATATTCAAAGTCGAACTTCTCATTTTCTGCCCAGACCTGTTCTTTCTGCAGCCTTGCCATCTCAGTAAATGGCAGGTCCATCCCCTCCACACATCTCACCCATCAGCAAATCCTATTGATTATCTTCAGAATATATCCAACCTCTTCTCACCATCTGTACTACTACAGCGGGTCTCCTTGCTTCCACCCTTGCTCCCCTGCAGTCAGTTCTCCTTATGATAGCCTGAGGGGTCCTTTTAAATACCTACTGCTCAGAACCTTCAATAGTTTCCTATATCAATCAGTAAAAACCAAAGTCATCACAGTGGCCTGCATGGCCCTCCATGACCAGGAACTCAGCCACCTCCTGACCTCTTCTAGTACCATTGTCCCTCCCTTACTTTGCTCCAGCTGCAGGGGCCTCCTTGTTCCCTGTTCACGCTACTGATGTTACCTACTCAGGATTTTGCACTTGCTGTTCCCTCTACCTGGAAATTCTCTCCCTCACTTCAATCAGATCTCTGATTGAAAAGTACTTCTCAACTACCCTATCTAAAATAATGATACCCCACCCCACTATTTATTTCTACTTACTTTTCTTTACCATTTATCTTCCTTCCTAGCACTGATCACCACCTGCAATATTAGATATTTATTTATGTTTTATGAATCTTTCCCCACTAGAATGTCAGTTCCACAAGGGCAGGGACTTTGTTTTGTTCCCTGCTCTATCACCTTGAGCAGTGCTTTTCATGAAGTAGATGCCCAATAAATGTTTGAATGAATAACCAGTAAAAAGTTGTTGAATGAGTAAATGGCAGTACATAGGAGTAGTGGTCATTTTTACCTGGGTGGGATTCGGGAAAGTTTAGACTTTACATAGGGGAATAAACAGGTTTCCTTTGTTTAGTGCATAGTGGGAAGACTTTCTAACTCTAGGGCATAAAAGTGTAGAACCCAAAGAGTTGGGAAGACTATTCTGTTAAATGATCTGCTGTTTAACTTTTTTTCTAGATAATCACATTTTTGCCTGGGGCAATGGTGGTAATGGCCGCCTGGCAATGACCCCCACAGAGAGACCACATGGCTCTGATATCTGTACTTCATGGCCTCGGCCTATCTTTGGGTCTCTGCATCACGTCCCGGACCTATCTTGCCGTGGCTGGCATACCATTCTCATTGTTGGTAAGGGTTTCATATGTATGAGATTGGGATGGCTTTGGCAGAGGATAGACGCACACTTAAGTTACTGATGGTCACATTCTTGGAAATAGAAATGTCCTAAAGAGGAGGCTACTTCTATACGTCTTGTAATGGTCATGGGTGCCAAAAATTGTCATTTCCTGAGCCTTGCTATCTGCTGTCTCTTGACTATTTTTTAATATAACTTTGGGCTCTGCACCTACCCAATAGAATTTGTTATTTCTAGTAGTCCACTAATTAATATGTTGTCTGTGTTCATGCTTTCATGAGAAACATTCAGTATATCTTTAAAAAGAAACTTTAAATCATAAGTGTTTTCTGCATAAAGATTACTTGGTTATGATCTAAATTATAAAGGCCTATGTAAAGCTTTACAAGTCCATTCTTTCAGATCAGTGGTTCTCAACCTTGGCTACACATTAGAATCCCTGGGGAGCTTTTTAAAATCCCATTGTCCAGACCCTACCCCTGACCAATTAAATTAGAATCTCTTTAGTAGGACCTAGGCATTGTTACTTACTAAAGCTTCCCAGCTAGTTCCAGTAAACAGCCATGGTGAGGAATTGCTACTTTAGATAGGGTGTATAGTTAGAGTAGCTGGTGGTGCTTGAATTATATTTATTTCTAAAACAGTAAGTAAATAATTGTAAAATTATTTGGAGTCAGGGATAGCAAATATCCTAGTCTTCACCCACTGTTCTCGCCTATATCTTTATATAGTGCTTATCTACTTAATATTTTTCCTCAGAGAAAGTACTGAATTCTAAGACCATACGTTCCAATAGCAGTGGCTTATCCATTGGAACTGGTAAGTAGCGTTGTCTCACCTACCAGTGGTTTTCTGAAGTGAGGTCTTTGGGTTAGATTCCATGCAGTCTTCAAAACTCAAAGGAAAATAGAAAATTTCTTTGGGAAATGAGGAATACAGTGATTAAGGGGAGGAATCATATTTTGGTGGGTTTCACAATAAGTTATGACTTCTACATTGTGGTCAGTGGGAGAGTACATAGTCTTTGCCTCCAGCACATATGGAAGTAATTAAGTGGCTTGCCCAACACTGTAATGTGACTTACGTATTCTTTCTTTCTTTCTTTACTATCCTAGGGGTTATGGGTCCTCTCTGCCTTTTACTTCCATGATGTTCTCAGGGATATTCCAGTCTATAGAAATAGTCCTTCAAGGGCCGGCCCCCGTAGCTCACTCGGGAGAGTGCGGTGCTGATAACACCAAGGCCACGTGTTCAGATCCCCACATAGGGATGGCCGGTTAGCTCACTGGTTGAGCATGGTGCTGACACCACCAAGTGAAGGGTTAAGATCCCCTTACCGGTCATCTTTAAAATAAAAAAAGAAAGAAAAAGAAATAGTCCTTCAAAACAGGCCCTCAGATATAAAAGTCAGATAAACTTTCAGTGTGGTTAGGAGAATCATCCCAAAGCTCTCTGATAGTTTTCGTTTGACTGCTTTCTTCATGATTCTCTGTTATTTGGGACCATGCCAGGAACTTGACTCTATATTCCTTTTTGATTTTCTTGCTGTAGTCTTTGATGTCTCAGAACATGGATTCTGATATTTTGTGGAATCAAAACAGATAAACACCCAGAGTAAAAGCAGATTAATCTCCCAAAAAGAAACAGTTGAAAATCTGATCTAGACTTTTGAGCTTTAGTTTACACATATTCACACACTTATGCCTTTTATTGGTTTCCTTAAGTAATTCATTGCTAGGTATCTCTATTTGTGCATATTAATATCTGTCACAAATGATTAAATATCTTTTTGTTATGCACAACTGTTTTATTACAACTTCGTTTTGCTGGAACAGTACTTAAAGGAAAAACATAAGATTACAAGCAAATGTCCATGGGCTGGAAAATGTAAACTCCAGTAACAGCAGGGACTTTTGTCTTTTTTAATCATTAATTTTATCCACATTACCTAGAACAGTGCCTGGCAAATGGTAAATGCTCAATAAATCTTTGTTGATTGAACAGTCAGCTTTGTATCTCTTGAATATTCACAATAAATAAATACATAAATAAATAAATAAAATCTTTGTTGATTGAATGTGTTATAACCATCCATTGGACTATTACAAAGGATAGAAAATAGTTTGTCCAAATACTTCCATAATGTGAAATGTAAAAAGGAAGTTCCAGCAGACTGCATTCCTTTTTATAAAGTTTAAAAACAAGCAAAATAAATAGTAATGTATTTTTAAGAATACATAAATAGGTGATAGAGTTTCGGGTTTTTTAGAGAAGAAACAAACACAAAATTAACCAGCGTGGTTTTATCTGGGTTGGAGGCTAGAGAAGGAACGAATTCACAGTCAGATATGGTGTTTCTGTGGTTCAGCAGTATTCAATAGATCTTTCAACAGCAATGGAATGTCTTATATCTGTGCTGTCCACTAGAGTAGAGTGTCATATGGCTATTGAGCACTCAAAAAGTGGCCTTTTGGCTATTGAAGACCTAAACTTCTGTGACTAGGTGGCACTGTTGCTAATGTGGAACTGTCTTTTATCTGAACAGGTGGGGATGCATTCCAAAGGCACTTTTTGAGTGCTCAATAGCCATATGACACTCCTAGTGTGACTGAGGAACTGAATTTTTACTTGCTGTAAATTTAAATGGCCACATACGGCTAGTCGCTATCATATTGGAAGTATAATTCCAGTTCTTCTAGTGGTAGATTCACATATGTTTATTTTATTGTTAGACATCACAACTAACTCATGTTAAAAATAATCTTAAGTATATCTCAAATGTAACAATTTTTAAAAGCCATTTAAAACAAAAAACAAGCTTCAGAGCTTATTTTGGTATCTACAATTCTGCTGCTTCACTAGCATCACACTGTGGTACATTCATTCCTCAAGGAGAGTAGCAGGTGATAATTTAAAAAACCTTTTACTTTTTTTTTTTTTTTGGCATCTGGCTGGCAACGGGATCTGAACCCTTGACCTTCTTGTTATAACACTGAACTCTAACCAACTGAGCTAACCCGCCAGCCCTAAAAATCTTTTGCATTTAACCACAGAATATACCATGTTTTGTTTTTTTGTTTTTTTGCTTTGGCAAACTAATTTCTTTTCTTTTTTTGCTTTGGCTGCTGGATGGTAAAGGGATCTGAACCCGTGGCCTTGGAGTTAAAAGGCTGCACTCTAACTAATTGAGCTAGCTGGCCAGCCCCTACTTTCTTAATTATATTTTTCTTTGGCCTATATTAAAATTCATTTTCATTTCCTGACCACACATCAGCTAGTCGGTCATTAAGGTAACTTGGAATATGCTGCATGATATGAAAGAACTAGCCATCATATTTTTAAAATTTATACAAACACTCATGAAAGAATTTAATACTCATGTGAGTGTTGAAGAATTCACCATTCAGGCATTTCCCTAAACAGGGAGTTAATGTTGAACAACTTTAAGAGGTTTTTGGCTCAAATATTAAAGAACATTTTATATAATATGAATGTCTGTGGAGGATGCTGGAGTTTGAGTGTATCTATTAAAGAAGCAGAGTAAGCATGGGTGCTAGATTTGGTGAGCTATGGTTGGGAGGATTGTTCAGTAATGTTCTAGAATATTGATAATCTGCTGTGTATGTAGGATAAACAAGTTTGGAAAGTGGAAGTGAATTATTATGAAGATCCTGATATACAGATACTTTGTGTAAAAACTAAAAATTTAGTTCCAAATATCTGATGTGCACTCTTATCATTCCACTTCATGCAACTCTAGAAGCTTTTCCAGGGGTAAGTGTGGCTGTCAGATGGTAAATCTTTCTTGCTGCATAGCAAAGCTCTTTACTTTTGTGCTGTGTATTTGTCAGTGGTTCAGAGCTCTAGCCCAGGAGGTGGTGGTGGAGGTGGTGGTGGTGAAGAGGAAGACAGTCAGCAGGAATCTGAAACTCCTGATCCAAGTGGAGGCTTCCGAGGAACAATGGAAGCAGACCGAGGAATGGAAGGTTTAATTAGTCCCACAGAGGCCATGGGGAACAATAGTGGGGCCAGTAGCTCCTGTCCTGGCTGGCTTCGAAAGGTAATTCCTTTGGAATAGATACCTCAGATAAAATACCAGGCACTAATGTACATATATCTAAATTAAAATCTCTATTTATAAAGACTCAATAAATAAATCAATAAATAATAAAATACCAGTTCCTTTGCAGGGACTAGAAAGGAACTGTCAGGATCTCTCAGTTTCCCATGTCCTATTAAGCTGTTTTGTAGCAGTAATCTAGGTTTCTAATTTCTACTTGGAAAGAAATCACCAAATTGCTAATCTTTTTTTCTTTACAACAAGAATACAAAATATTCTTATACCTATTACTTAAGTGAATGTAAATTTACAGAACCTACTTTGAAGGCAGTTTTTGTTGTGCATTTGTGCAAAGATTAAGTTTATAGATTTTGTACTGTCCTAGAAATGGTCCTATATTGGGACAACTGGAATGCCTTACAAAAGGAAAGTGGTTTATGAAAGCTGAGGTGCAGTCAGTAAAAATGTAGAACTATATTTATTTATATGGAAAGTTGGTCACAACATAGGGCTATGCAGAAGAGGATGGAATATCAGTGTGATCTCATTTAGAAAATATGTACTGCACAGAAGAACATAAACAAGACTATATATTGACAAGTTTAACAGTGGTTATCTTTGACTGAGGGAATTGCTGTTGCTTTTTATTAGCTTTCTTTGACCATCTGTATTTTCTACAGTGGTGAAATTTTTACAGTTTGTGAAATTTTTAATTTTTACCAAAAAAAGAAAAAAAGAGGATCTATAGATTTAAAGCTTTATCCAGTAAGACTAAACTTGATAGTTATTTGAGAAGTATGAACAGAAGCAGCAGCATACTGTTCTGTCTAAACCTTCAGCGCTGGCCTGGCAATTGGCCTCACTGTCATCCCCTTAAAGCATCCCAGCTCATTGAATGGACTGTGTAGAATAAGTGTGTTGAGGAAACACACCAGACACTCCAGACTGTGTTCCTGAATTTGAGTTTGAATTTGCATCACTGTTACTCTGATGAAGGGATGGCAGGCAGTTTGTTCACAAGTAGCGTGAGATGTGTTGTTAACCACAACTGTCCTGTCCCACTAGAGGGTGCTCATGTCATGACAGAGTGAGAGTTGTAGCAAAAGAGAGACGGGAATTTGGGAGAAAGTAAATTGCAGCAAACAAAACTGATGAGATTCTTTCTCATATACATAGGAGCTGGAAAATGCAGAATTCATCCCCATGCCTGACAGCCCATCTCCCCTAAGTGCAGCATTTTCAGAAACTGAGAAAGATACCCTGCCCTATGAGGAGCTGCAAGGACTCAAAGTGGCCTCTGAAGCTCCTTCGGAACACAAGCCCCCAGTGGGAGCCTGGGTAACTGAGCTTTTTGCCTTTGAATCACAACTAGACAGACAGTAACTCTGAGCTGTGCCCAGTTCTCCTGGCCTCACTGTCTCCTCCTCTAGCTTCATTGGTCTTCCAGCTGCACTGCATCAACTTATTTTATTGTCTAATTCAGTAGAACTTAGAGCCTCTACCCAAGGCTAACCTGAGTTGCCTCAGAAAGGTATTTACCCTTTCACGTTTCTGACAAGCTAACACCTTTCTACACCAGAGGATCATCTCTTCTCTCTGCCGCAGAAGTACCAAAATTCAAATTCAGTTTTTCATGACATTGCTAGGGTGGATTGGAAGCTGTGAATCTAAGTAGGAAGTAGTGCTTGTAGTCTAGTGAGGGAGCAACACATGTGTACCTTACCTTAGTAGAAATGAAATAGTGGTAAATATCTCAATAAAACTGTAAACCCCAGGTGTCATCACTTTTTCTATAAAGGGCCACATAGTAATTATTTTATTTTATTTTATTTTTTTATTTATTTTTTGTCCTTTTTGAGACCGGCCGCACCGCACTCAGCCAGTGAGCGCTGTGAGCGCACTGGCCATCCCTATATAAGATCCGAACCTGCGGCGGGAGTGCTGCTGCGCTCCCAGTGCCGCACTCTCCCGAGAGCGCCACGGGCCCGGCCCATAGTAATTATTTTAGACTTTGCAAGCCATACGGTCTCTTTTGCAACTACTCAATTCTGACATTATAGCAGAAAAGCAGCCTCAGATAAAACAAAATGAATGAACATGCCTGTGTTCCAATAAAACTTTACAAAAACGGGCAGTAGGCCAGAGTCAGCCCATGGGCTGTCATTTGCTAACCCTTGCTATAAACAAAATACAGTAAAAGAAGGGAGAAAAATCTAGACTAGGATCATTGAAAAGCTTCCCAGAAGAGGTATTAAAACCTTTGAAATTTCAAGGTGACCATTTTAATTCCTCTGTCAGTTAGCCTTCTTGAATTATGTTGGCAGTCCTGTTTACTGAACACCTCTCAAATATTTTCTAAAGTGTGATTCATCATATTTCATGAATATTGACCCTTTGGATCAGTGTCCTCACTGTAACCAGAAGGACTTGTTCCATACCCAATCATGCTTTCCCCCACTTTAGCATTTTAAAGGAGAAGATATCAATGCACTTTGAATTTTTCACAGTCTTTCAAAAATAGATGATTGTTCTTCTACCTTAGCTTAATGGTGACTGAGGCACTGAGAGTTTCCTTGCCCTGTTATGTTAGTGCCAGGTGCTATTGTAATTCCAGCACTCTCCTGTTTCTCTTGCATATATTCATGTGTATATATATATATGTATTATCTTTTTTTTCTTTTTTTTTGGTGGCTGGCCAGTACCAGGAACTGAACTCTTGACCTTGGTGTTACAAGGTTGTACTCTATCAACCAACTGAACTAACTGGCTAGCCCTGTTTTATCTTAATTTAAAAGTAAAATGTTATTGCTCTTAGAGGAAGTTTGGACTGGGGAGCTGTGGTACCTAGGCAGAACCTCCTGCAATCTCTTCTTCCTGTCTCTTTAGCCACCACGGCCGAATCCTGCAGTAACAAGTGCTGGGAAAGGAACTCCATTGACTCTTCCTGCGTGTGCATGTAGCACTCTGCAGGTGGAAGTTGAAAGATTGCAGGGTCTGGTGTTAAAGTGTCTGGCTGAACAACAGAAGCTACAGCAAGAAAACCTCCAGATTTTTACCCAACTACAGAAGCTGAACAAGAAATTAGGAGGAGGGCAGCAGGTGAGAGCATTAAAAGAATAATTCATTTTCTAAGTCTGTTTTGAAGAATCACAGAAACAAAAAACATCAATTGCAGAAATAGACTTACTCCTTTGGAAGTCCTTACCTTTTAATGATGTGACTTTTGTAATTAATCCCAGAAGCCTTAGGCCCTGTTCAGTCACCTGGATTGAATCATTTTCATCACCTTTCATTGTTTTTTCTTACTGTTTGTTGTTACTGTGGTTTTTAAAAACTTTTTATTATGAAAAATTTTAAATGGTACAATATATACCATCATATATCCACCATCTAGTTTCAACAGTTGTTAACATGTTGCTGTGTTTGCTTCATATGTGTGTATAAATATATACATTCTATTTATTTTGCTGAACCATTTTAAAGTAAATTATAAATATCGTGACATAGTCCCCCTTAAATACTTCATTATGCATCTCTGAAAATGAAGACATTTATTCTCCTGGACAACCACAATATTATTATCACACCTAACGAAATTAACACTGATATTCTCAATTTTCATCCAGTACCCAGTTGATATTCCAATTTTCCCCACAAAAATGTCCCTTTTCGGTGGGGGGGGGGGGGGGGG